GGGAGGTACCCAAAAAGTCGACTTTTTGGGTACCTGCTTTGGTGGTGCTGGGTTGGGTCTGCACTCTTAAGGCTAAGGCTAAGGCTTAAGGCTAAGGCTAACATAGAGCAAGGCTAGCGCTAAAGGTTCTATCCCTTGGGGGTCGGCGGCTGCAGGCGGTAGCCTGGTAAATATATATATATATTACAATGTCAGTTACATATGTTACAGTACATAATATAATTAGGTGGGAAACTCTCGATAGATAGAGTACACAACCACAACGATCGATTATCCGCAACCTTTTTCGCATCACGTGGCCAAACAGCCACAGCAAGCTGTCTGAGGGCGAGCTGTCAAGCAGGGCAACCATTTTCCAGTTGCATGCTCAATGGGACCAATAGATTGGTCGAAGGACACACTTCCTCCGCCAAACGGCCGAGGGAGTGCTCACGATGTGTAATTGTGCACAACTTTGTTCACACTGTGTATTTGTCTGGGGGTCCTTGCAATGCAGAAGCATGGTCAGCAAAGGTCCTTTAATCCTTGATAATGGCCCAACACCCTACACAACAGCAATAACCACAAAGCAACCAGCAAGCACCACAGTGGAGGAGCAAAAGCACACCAAAATGTGCAACTCCATCTGCCACAGGCCCCCCAAACAACAAAGAATTAAATCTGCGGGCTTTTCTAACACCCAAGTCGATCATGTAAAGGCGTGGCCGGGTAGCGGTCCAAATGGCCAAAGCAACATCTGTTGTCTTTGGTAGTGTCTTTGGTGGGCTCTATCAGTTAAGGCTGGGTGGCAAGCAAAATATATACTGATATACAAATACAAAGTCACAGCAAACATAAGCATATACACAGTATTCTCAGGGGTTTTCCTTGCAACGTCGCAGTAAATTGTAGGCTTGTAGGTTTGAACATGTTTTAACCCCCCCAAAGCAGCAAAGTTGCTCATGTCTGAATAGGCATTGTTGGTGTCAATGTCAGCTCCACTCGATATGTAAGAACTTCGTAAGAACTTCATTAGCTACTAAGTCTCTGAACAAATCTCCAGCTTGGTTCCGCACCCGGCTCAACTGCACTGAACATCCGGAAAATGCAAGGCTGAAGTGGCCGTACAGTGGATTCTCGAAACTGTCACAAAACTATAGTAATATAGATCCAAAAGCTTTTCGGAATATTGCAAAATTTTGGAAGTGTTGCAGCGGAACCCACTGGCATGCATACTCACCCTCCCGGCAAAAGGAATGGAATCGCTTTATCGCTTTATCCGGGGGTGGCAGCAGGTGCATTGGCTGGGAGGCGGCCGCAGCGGGCCTCAAAGGCTCACTATTGTGCGGTTGCCACACATTTGCTCCTGAGAGCAGCTTTGTGGTCATGTGTAGTCAGGTGATGGCATCCACAGTCAACATCTCTGTGGCACGTCAGCAAACGCCAGCAAACACGCCAGCAAAGGAGTAATGAATCCATGTTGCGCCAGGTTGCGCAGAACACAGCCAACAGGGAGCAGGTTTTGACATCATCTTTAAACATCAGCAAACTGAGCCAGCCCCCGTCACTGTCCACACTCTTGACCTCGTTTAGGGTCTGGAGGCCGTTTGAAACCGTCACTGGTCTTCTGTTCCCGAACGTTTGGAGTTTGGACCTCGCTCCTCGAAGCTGGGCATGGGGAACATCACAGGGCACCGGTGCGAGCGTCGCACTTCTTTCGCTGCGGCTCCAACATCGTCCTGCGGTCCAACGAGTGCCACAAGGAAGCGTTAAGCCGCCAGGAAGAACAAACACGTGATTTGGCCGCATTGGCCGCGCCCTGACATTCAATACACATGTGTCACCTACGGCTGGCTGTCATAACAGGTCAGTGGTCACCATGGCAGAAGGTGGATCTGGCTTGAATTTTCCTGAAGTCGATACCCATCAAAAGGTTTGGACCCCTAACAGAGAACCACGGCACACGCTTCTAGAAAAAGAAATACATCCCAAAGGCCCAGGCTCAGGACCCAACCTGTTCGCTCGGGACTTCGCCAGGGTGAAATGGAGCCTTCACCAACATATCAACACCCAGACACTCCATGGGACTGCCATAGGACTGCCGCGACTTCACCACCCCTGGCCGTTTCTCGGCAGTCCGGCAGTCCCATGGGTCGTGTCTGGGACATGTAGCAGGTTGGTTCTATGGGCCTCTGGAATCCAGAAGTCTTCTTCAACCTGTCCACGGGCCTCGTGTTGCTTCGGGTGAGCTTCGTTCGGATCGTCAGCGCTCTCCGCCACGGCGTTCGTTCGAACTCTTTGGGAGGCAAAAAGACTGGTACAGTACCTGTCTGTGCTCCCGTCCGTTTTTTTGGTGGACATCTGCACCTGTCTGAACAGTCCAATCCCATGGCCCATCATGAAGACAGAACCGGACATGTACAAACTCACAGTCCCTTGTCGTGTACCCGACAGTCCCTTGATGATGGACCTAGTGCCCTGACCATCCATTCTTGGCGCCGACGTCCGATCTAGCCACAAGCCGAAGAAGTTTGAGGCCCCCCTGAGTTTCTAAAGGACTATAGCCTCCTCACTCGCCTCCAACACAACAGCCACAAGGAGATCTGGCCTGCTGAACTGGAGGCATCTGTAAATCCTCTCTCCCGATTTCGTCAGAGCGCCTGAACAACCCATCCGTTGGTCAAGCACGCCCGAACCAATTACATTCAAAGAATCATGTGGCGTGGCTAAACGATAGTGTATATGTATACATGCATATATATCATATATCCAAATATTATATACAGCAAGCACGAGACATCATCCCTTTGAGTCGACAACCGTTTCTCCCGTTTCTCACGAGTGGATTATCCTGTTGTCACTGTCACATTTGTTGTTCCTTGTCTCACTTGTCTCCATGCGCCATGAAAAAACACGCACCTGATGCGCTCCACAAAAGTCTCGAAGCTTTCGGGGTGCTCTTCAATGGTATTCAAGAAGATCTGGAGCTTCACCTTCGGTGTGTGTTCTTCGACGGCTCGAGACGGCTCGAGTCACGGGGCCTCGGGACTGGCCCTTCGACCTTCCAGCCGTTTCAGCAAGGAGCGCCATGACCAATTCTCAGCCATTGCCAAAAAAAAGAAGGGGGGCCTTGGAGAACCAAGGGGGGGGGAAGAAGAATCCGTGAAAATTGATAGGATTGACTCTCCACATCATGGAACTGGCAATTGGTGTATCGAGTTCTGCTTGTGTTTTCCTCTTAAAGCCAACATGGCTGCACGAGGAAGGCCACACCCCAGTTGCTCCGGAGGACTGCCACAGGCAGTCCTAATCATAGAGCATACCTTTCACCTTCAGCGGTCAATGCAGGCATATATTTCACACACTTTTCAATTTAATGCTTCCATACTATACATGGAGTGTCGCATGGACCAGGAAGGATTCTGAGCAGGAAGCCCCAGGGTGAAAATCGAAATCACACGGCACGTCTCCAGTCCGCCCTAAACTGCTTTTGGAGGCTTGGACGTGACTAGCCCATGGTCGAGCTTGAAAAATGCAAAGGTGGCTTTGGCATGTTTATGCATGTGTGTTTTGTGTAATTCATTTTGTCAGTTTCACACCCCAAGTCCTCAGGACATGTTATATACTTTTAGAAGGTTCCTTGGCTGTGCCACACTGGCTCAAGGTGGTTGGGCGATCTCGTCTGCCGCGATCTTACTGCCCAGTTCAGGTGATTTCTTTCCCTCCTTCGGTGCTTCTTCCTCCCTCGGTTCAGCATAGCCCAACGGCGCAGTACAGACACTCGCGACTGACTGATGTGTGGGGATCAGAGTTTGGGAACCATGTGCTCCAGTGGATCCTTTTCCAACGGAGGAGCAAAACCATCTTGATTGTTAGGTTATCATCAGCTTTTCAGCCGACATGAATGGCTTGACAATCTTGACACATATGTTCAGCATCTTTCTCCCGTATCTTATCTCTTTTCTGCCTTTGTCTAAACGACAATCTGTAGCAGGTTGGCCCAAACAACTCCTGTTGAGGGCAACATCTCTCGCGTTGCGGGAGCTAGGATATATTTGAGAACAAAAAACCGAGAACGGGTGCTTTTGATGTCTTCAATTGACAACAATGATGACTGAAATTTGTTGCTGCAGTTTTTGCAGCGAAGAAAACAAACAACACATCGAAGAAAGCACCACAGCTAGGCCCGCTAGGCGGAGTACAAGCACACCAACATGTGCGACTCCAGAAAACCATTTGGCTGTGGGTCAAAACACATATCCCCAAACCAGCATAGGTTGACCTCCTTAATAGTCCTTTCTGTTCATTTTTGGTGGTCAACCCAGGTAGCCGGGTTTTGACCCACAGCCATATAAAACCGACACCCTGTCGGTGAACAAAACTTCCATCAGCCGGTACTATCACCCAGGCCGATGGCCGAAGAGGGATGACGAGCATGGGCTATGCTAGTACATGTGGAGTTGTGTTCGTCCAAATGGCCACCCAAAAATGCTAAGAAAACAAGTTTGCCAATGTTCATCAGCCGGAAGATCTCAGTTCTGACCCTTCACCCGACCCTGGTCTTCGGAGAAAAACACACACGCACAGGTGCGAGCTGCCTTCGCCCTATGGACCTCGGCTTTGAGTGGCACAGTTCGACTTTAAAGAGGCCATGAAAAATGAAACACCCGCGAAAAAACGATTGGAATCATCCAGTCACTAGATGTCACTATAGACTATAGATTCTATAGCTCTTCTTTGGCTGTGGTGAAACACCCCAATTAGCAGGCGCCAAGGGCAGGGACCCGTGGTTGTTCTGCATGTGCTGTTGTGTGGCACACAAAAAACTATACAACGTGTTCAGTCTCTTCTGGCACAATAGAGAAATCCTCACTCCGTACCCAACGTTTGGGCTTGAGACATGGCACCTCGTCAAGAAAAACATGTCTCATGCCGATGTCTCGCTGAGGTCCATTCTTGTGGGTCATTTTGGCCGCTCCACCTGTTACAGGCTCACCACGGTGCATTGGTGTCGCTTCTCCTGCCAGCTTAAGAGAAGCAAAAAGGCTAGGCTTTCCACACATCAAACCGGCATTCGTGCTCCGTAAAGGAATCTTGACGGGTGAGTGGTCTTGGCATGTCTTGGCTCAAGGGCCCTACAGGACTCTACAGGTTTGTAATAAGTTTCTTCCAAGTCTTCAAACATGACTACGAGATGGCAGAACGAACATCAGTGCAATGGATCTCAAAACTGGAAATCGTATTGATTTCCAAACATCTATATAGTGCCCACAATGTACTGCTGCAAACCACACCTGATCCAGCTCCCCCCCGAACAAAGAGGCCGTGCCATTTCGTGGGGCGACACAGGGTGACGGGTGATGTTCAGTGGGTCAAACAGTTTAGCCTTCACATCGAGCGATCCCAATCCTGCAGGTGGGATGGAATGATCAAAAAGTGTCACTCTCCAAAACCAATACAGTGGTTTCAGAGTGGATGGCACAAACCCCTATGCCTAGTATACATGTCTTTTGGACAGGGGGTCCATACAAACCGCCAAACTTGGGGACTGTGCCATCTGTAGAGGTGACGAACCTTCTGGCAAACCCTCTATTGCTTTGGCGCGATAAAATCACAACCTGCGACCGTTCTTCACAACTGCCGGCCTGGGCAGCCAGGCTTGGCATGGGGACCATCGAGCATTGCTCGGAGCGGCGGATTTCACGGGCGGCAGCGCCTTCACGGTCCTCCTCCGTCCGAGAGGGACAGGCTGCGAAACGTTCCCCTCGACGACCCCGGAAGCACCAAACTAGGCCCGCCAAGAAGCGCTTCAGCGCGCCGGCCAGGAAAGGCCTGATTGAATGATTCAGGGATTCCACCTGTCAAAAACTTGAATTTGCTCAAGAAGCCAGGAACGAGTAACAAACTTATATTTTCCAGAAGTGGATGTACCCCGGAAAAATCACCCCAAGGGGGCATCCATGACATTTTTTTGATAGCGCTGTAATGCCAAAAGTAGCTTCTTGCTTAGTAACGCACTTGTTACCAGTGGCGGTGCCCTTGTTAGTAGTAGCGGTGCCCTTGTTAGTAGTAGCACACCCCTGTTCACGGCTTCCGATTTACCTTGCGCCATGCAATGGGGAAACATGGGGCAACTCTTTGTTTGTTCATCTTCTGATGTTGTTCAATATGGTCTTCCCCAAGCAATGGCACCTGGTCTCGATGTCCTCTTCGAGGAGTTTTGGGGAGGTCTCCGTATATTCTAAGACACACCAGACACACCCCGATTTCCTGACAGTGATACCATGCCTTGGCCAAGCAACCGTGCAGTACCCACCCTGACCCACCAAGCATCCCAAGCAAGCGACAACCGTGTCCTGATGAGATGGAGGTGTCTCCACACTCAGCCCGACGTCCAAGTCATATCGCCTAGAGATTTCGGGAATCCCAGGAGCAAACAAGGCGTTCTAGAGTTGCCTACAGTTTAAGGAAAACGCTAGCAGGATGGTCTTCTTTAGGTAGCATGCAAGGTGAATGGACGAAATAAACAACAAACACACACAGTGCAATCAAAAAAACTGTACACTGTAATCGTATGTCTATATACTGCACTTACAATCAAAAACAACGGAAACATCTTGCAAAAAACTGTTCTCTAAAAACTGGGCGTTTTCTCCCCTCACTCACCTGATGTGCTCCACAAAGGTCTCGAAACGTTCTGGGTGCTCCTCGACGGCAAGGAGGAAGATGTGGAGCTGCACCTGGAGCGCTTTTTGCCCAGTTCTGTTGTGCTGGAAGAAACGTCACTGAGCCCAGAATCCCCAGGACATCAAGGATTCACATCAAGGAGCCCAGAATCCCCAGCCAAGCCCAATCGAAGCAGTTGATGGGCTAGTGAGTCACTCTGTTCTTTGGTAAACTTCCCACGGCCAGACTGCCCAACCCCCCGGCCTGATGACGACTCGTACCTCTACAGCAACAACCCCCCTACTTTGATCCCTCAAAATCCCTCAAACTACCCCAACCGATTGGTCAAGATTCCCTTGGTAACCTCATGAATTATTGCTCTGGGAGACTGTGGGAGTTAGTAATGTAGAGTCTTGATTCATAACCCCTTATGAAAAGGTTCTTCAATTCCATTGGGGGAGGTGATTAATCAAGAGTCAACATCATAATCGCCCATGTACATTGTGGGAATCCAATGTCGAACCCTTCGAACCCTTCCAACCATCACTCCACTCCTCAGGATCAACGGTCTGGCGCTGGAGCCGTTTCAGCAAGGAGCGCCACGAGCGAATCATGGACATGGAGGTGCGTTGGTGCTGATGTGCAACTTGGGCCAAAAGGCTGCAGAAGGGACTTGGACCATAGCCTTTTTAGGGATCCAGTTGCACAAATGGAACCTAGCTGAAGCAAAGCAAGACCATGGTTGCTCTGCCAATTCGATTTCTTTGGTCTCAAGAACCCCTCCATCCCTGCAAGCTTCAACCAACATCATCCTTCCTCATCTACCGCCTCAAGCATCGGACGCTGAACCCCTCGGGCTCCGGCCATGCACAAGAGCCGTGCTTTCGCCAACGCGTGTGCGCCCGCGGGCAAGGTGCCCATGGATGGACGATGATCCTTCCAGCGGTCCTGGCGGTCCGCGTGGCGCTGTGGCGGTGAAAGATTCGAAACGGATGGCTTCCGAAACCAAGAACTTAATGGCACTTAAGATCTCCAGTATGTCGATCTCTGGCCGCCGTTTCCATCCCCCCACAAACGGGGACATCCCATTAGGAAAAAGCTGATTCTATAATGGACTCGTGACTCTATTTGATTTAGATGTGTAATTTGGATGGTCAAAGCACCTGATGTGGGGTAGCTTTGCTTTAAACAAGTCTCTATACCTTAGCTGACAGGATTGTGGAGTTCTCACTCGACGGGCCGTTCGCCCTGCCAGCGTCCTTCAAATAGCTCTCCATGACCTCCGTCTCTGTGCGATCAGCCAGTTGTTGAATGTACCTGTCGGTCGGGTCAAGTGCCCAAGAAGCTGTGGAACAATATAAAACACCCAGCAAACATCCCAGAAATCCGCGAAAACCCTTCGGAATCCTTCCAAAAACATCGCTTTGCAGCGTTTTCACCGCTCGACTCGACCACCGAGGGCGGTTTTGCTCTATGCCCTTCCACGACGAACACGAAAACTGCCATCTCAGACACTCCATGTATGCCATATATGCTTACATTGGGGTGATTTGGGCGGTCAATGTAGGCATATATGGCATACATGGAGTGTCTGGGCATGATGAACAAACATGAGCAAAGTTCCACCCTTAGCAGACTTGTTGACCACTTACGACTGGATGAACTTGTAAGACCCAAAGAATACAAACCAGCTGGTGACCATCAGTGATACCATTTCGGAGAATTGCAATTGGGCCTACGCAATTGCAATGAGCGCCGGGACGACCAATTTGAACGAGTTCAGAACTCTAGCTGCTGAAGACCGGGACCAAACAGTTTAAGGACTTGGAAGCTATCCCTGACCGTCCAAAGCTATGCCAATCCACTGCTCAAAATGATTGGAATTCGACCTTAGGCACCTGCTGACCTCAGCTAACTTCACCTTTCTGACCTGTTGCTTTTCTCCATGTCCGTGTCAGCAATGTTGTGGGCTTGTCATGCGAAAGCCACCAGTCAGTTGAACCCCACCAAAATAGGGTCTAAGAATCTTAAGGTAGCACATATATACTTGAACCGCTGCTAGAACTGTCCGATATGTTAAGTTTGTATGACACCTTCAAGTTGACGAAAGACTTTGAAGAGACCCCTCTTCAACCCATCCTTAAGCTTCTCCCGCCCAGAGAAAAACTCTGTGTTGGCACTGGCGAAGAAACGTCCATGATCCCAACAGTCGCGCCTCACGGACTTCATAAAGCTCTTCCTGAGGTGCTGAGAGCAGCTGAGAGGCTCAGGTTGCTAAAGATTCTTCACGCCAAGGGGGGCAAGTGGTTGAGTAGTTGAGTCAAGTGTAGGTGGTCATCGATTTCTTCAGCTGCTCCAACTCTTGGCGGGAGGCGGAAGGCTTCTCTTGGGCTCTTGTGAAGCAGTGTGACCTTTTTCGGACCAATCTAGGGCGCCTTGCACAGCATCCTCGACATGAAGCGCACACACACACACATGTTTTGGACTCACACTGCACGCAAATTGACATGGACCATGCGTACGAACACCACGAAGACGAACACAAACAGGGGATGAACATGGATGAACTTCATGAATTCCCACTTCCATGTGGATGTCTCCTTTGGAATGTCACATCTCCAGTCTCTCCTGATCTCTCTCTCCACCTCTCCTCTCCGCCTGTCTCAACGTCCGAGCGGCAGGACTGGCATTGGCAGTTGCGACGTGAGCTTGTTGCACCCGAAGAGCGGCGTGGGCTCCGCGCCCGCCAGGTCCTGTGACCCACCGCGGTGACGAACCGCCGGTGACGCGTCGTCCGAGCGCAGGTGATGCAGGTGAGGAGTCGAGTCCAAGAGGTGGAAAACACGCACCATGCGGTCTTTCTTGGGCCATCTATGCCTAAGTCAAGCAGCAGCAATGTCTGACATCGGGATGTCTTTGGGGATGTAGAATCTGGTGTTTCTTGGGCCAAATCATCAGGCTTGGCAAGTGCAAAGAAGCAGCCTCTTGCAGGATGTACTTTGTCTTGCCACTTCTGAAGTCCATACAGAATTAATGTCGACGTCGGATTAATCAACGGCCCCCCCCCTAGAAGGTCAACAAGGTCAACAAGGTCTGAGATTGGAGGTTTTGGAGATCACATCCCCCTAATAGTGGGGATGACCTGATGATGACAGGAGGAGGAGATGAGATGGGATGGAATGATGAGATCCATGAGAGCCCAAATACTAATTCCCGTTCATCATGAGATCCATGAGAGCTTATTGGCACAAATTTGATTTCTGAGATGATGAAAGGGAATTTGATTTGGAAGAATTGGAATGAAAGGGAATTAGTATTTGGAAGAATTGAGATGAAAGGGAATTAGTAATTGGAAGAATTGGAATGAAAGGGAATTAGTATTTGGAAGAATTGGAATGAAAGGGAATTTGTATTTGGAAGGGTTGGGATGAAAGGGAATTAGTATTTGGAAGAATTGGAATGAAAGGGAGTTAGTATTTGGAAGAGCTGGGATGGAATGATGAGATCCATGAGAGCCCAAATACTAATTCCCTTTCATCATGAGGTCCATGAGAGCTCATCATGGATGGGGTTGACTAATAGGGGGGGGTACCCCACTATTAGAGGGGGTAGGGGGTGTATGGGGGGTACCCTTTCTGAGCTTCTCAAATTGCAGATTTTGATAGAGTTTTAATAAGGGAAAATGAAAGAATTTTCCTAGAGAGTTTTTGGAAATTCTAGGAAAGCTGTTGCTTTGGGAGAGCATTGGTAATCAATCAGAAGATCAGTTTCACCATGGTAAGACAAGAAAATATTGAAAAGGCAAAAAGAACAAAACTAATTAAACACACATATATATTTGAATAATTGTATTTTTCCTGGGGGGACAGGGGGTAGACTAATAGGGGGGGGTTTCAGCCAAACAAATTTTTTATTAGAGGGTGGTGACTGTGGAAATTCATAGTTCAAATTAGTTTATTATAGGGGCCTGAACGCTGGGTAGACTAATAGGGGGGGGTTCCCTAATCCTAGGTTGACATTACTCCTCAATCGTTGTCACAAAAGCTATCAAAAGCTGCAATTGGCCTGTTTTGGGGCACTTTCTGATCAAAACCAACCACGTGACCTATTTAATTTCATCAAGCCTGTCTCCTTCATGGGGTTCCAACTAAATCCTCTCTATGAAACATCCTCATGTGAAAATGAGCCTCAATGTGCATCTCAAAGCCAACCAAAACTCTGAGCGTAGATAAACCACTCTCAAGATCTCTCAAGTTCTTCATTCGCCATGAGTCTCAAGTTCGTCTCATTCAGCAAGTTTTGGGTCTTAAGGCCCTGGGACCCTAGTTGATCCTCAAATGAACCCAAGTCTCTGGAGACAGACTTGGCTTTTGATGAATACAGTAGATCTTCGGACTCTGATGGGGTCTGCTGGACCGATGCCGCACGGCTGGCGCCACTAGGCTCCCCAGGCCGTCAGCCAGTGCACGAAGTAGAGGCTCAAATCGCGGCGACTCACACGTCTTCCCCTCGGAACATGGGTGAGATGGGCGACGGAGTGGCGACATGGAGTGGAGTGAAGTACAAGCTGCACTGAATGGAGTGAAGTACAAGGAAGGGTCTTTCGCATTTTTGTTGGTTCCATGTCTTTTAGCATTGGAGGTTAGAAGCTCAAAAAAAGGCAACACCCCAAAGCACTTGGTCACTTGGCTAACTGAACGGTTTTCCTTTCGACCAGCGTGGTCAAAAAAGAGAGTCTCGCAAAGAAGCTTGCGAGAGCTTCCTAAAAGGGTAGCTTGGACCTTTGGGATGGATTAATCAACAGGATTCCTGGATTCATACGGCACGTATATTACAACAAATCATATCAAGTCATATGTGAATATTAATGCAGTTGCACATATAGTTAATGTTAACATTAACATATGCAAAAAGTACCTTTCCATATCTTTCCATGCCTTTCCCAGAAATCATTGCTGATTTCACGGCCATTTGAACAGCCTGGTGGGCTGCTTTTTCACTCGAGCAAATGAGTGTTTTGCCATGTGCTTCCACGTCTGCCTGTTGTCTTCCACGCACTTCACACTGGCATGGATCTTGAGAAGGATTGGACAACATCTTGCATCCAACGTATGGCATTCAGGGGGTCTTGAATGCATCTTTGGTGTTGGTCGGTCAACCTGGCCCTTGACTATAGAAACAACCGAGTTTAGTTTGCGGATGCTCAAACGCCTAAGGCCTAAACATGCTTTTCGGAAACAAAGGAACACATGTCGGTAGCATACTGCGAGACATCAGGAGTCCAGCTTGGAACACGCCTGGGCGGTTTGTTCAGCCCATGATTCTCGCAAAAATGCCATAAGTGGTGGACCAAATATCCGATCGAGGGGCCTCTCTTGCGATAGGCCCCGGAACCTCCTTCCAGTCTGAACCCAGGGCCGATGCCAAACCATATTTTGTCTAATCCATTCCAATCCTGGTCCCCAGTTGGCTACTAGTCTGCCAAAGCATTGGAAAGGGCTGAACACGTCCGAGTCCGAGTAACCATTAACTTCATGCGAATCGGCAAATGTTCACGAAGGTCAGTTGGCGATGCCAACAGGAAGTTCAGGTTGATCATACAGAAACCACGACAACGATCATGCCAAGTGAGTTAGGAATTTTAGGCCCATGGGACTGCCAGTTTGGACTGCCCCAGACAGACGCCCCCCTGGCACCCCAACTGCAGACCGGCAGGGACTGATATCAACAACCTTCGCCTTTCGAGACTGGAACTCTGGGCCCTGGTGCCCACGATCACGCGCCATGATCGCTGCCTTGATGCCCAGGAAAACAGCTCCTGGCCACGCTGGAGTGGAGTTGGTGCGGGTGAAGAAGCAGCACCCTCCAATAGGGCTGTGTCGCCAGTGACCTGCTAGTGGGTCACAAAATTGATGTACAAGTTACAAAAATGGTGTCGACACTTCGCGCCATCCAGTCAGATCCATTAGTGAAAACGCGGGATGCCCAAAGAGGTTTTTGTCTCAGCCAAGGCCGAGTGGTGATCCACCAGGAAAGGAGGTGTGGATATGTCAGTTCTCTCTCTTGGTTCATGAAGTCATTATGTCTTTCCTGGCTTGCCACCCCACCCTGGCTGAAAAAGGAGTTCACACTTATCAATCTGCTAAGATCCCACCAGGGGGGCCCGGTATATGATGCCCCCACTGTAGACTGAAGGATGTATATTATGTGCTTCTAAAGTCACCCTTGAAATTCGAAAAACAAAAGGTACAGTACCCGCAAGAAGCCCTCCCACAAGGCCATGCACCATTGCACTAAGCGCTTCGTGCTTTGCTTGCTTCGCTTTCGTCCCAAAGTGAACACACAAGCTGGGCATGAGCACCCAGTTGATCTCAAGTGACTCTAAAACCCTTGGTGACTATGTCTGTCAGGACACGTCAGGACATGGCATCCCATGGCACATTTTGCTCGCATCGCCCAAAAGGCATTGCGCTCCGTTCGTCAGGTTCCTTTCAACTTGATTTGTATTGCTTTTTGTGACCAGGAGGTTTTGCATGTTTGCCGAACATCTTCAAACTGACTTGGATCTCATCCTGCCTGGCGGAGCCTCTGCCTGCACAAACCATCCTCAGAACTGCAGGAACTGCTGAGTGCTGCTTTCTGGCAGAGTTCTGACGATTGAATCGATGAAGCCGATGGAAATGATTGACCTTCGAAGGAGTAACCCCACTTCCGGCCGAAATTGTTGACCAGGACAAGGGAACATCCTGAGGATGTGTTTCCCAAGCTGATCAGCTGATGGCCTACTGTAGAGTTGGGTGGGCCACCCGATAGTCTTTTAGTTATATCCCTAGTGGGTCAAACTCGACCAGCATTTGAGAAATTCTCTTGGGCACTATAGATGTTCCATTCAAGTATCAAATCGATTTCAGGCAGGGTCTGCTGGACCGTTTTGAATGGCGACCTTCAAAAAAAGGACTTGCCGAAAAACTTTGGACTTTGGATTTACCATCAGAAATATGAAACCCGAGACATTTCTCTAAGGAGAGACACAATAATATGGGAATCCTAGTGCTGCATATATGGTTGCGGTGTATCTTGAGTCTTGGGTATGCCATTCTCACTGTATTTCAATACCGGTCCTGCCAAGTGTGGTGAACAGGACGGACGCCGAAAAAACGCCAGCATCTCACCAGAACCAGAACCGGGCTATACCGCTTCTCTGCCGCGCCAAGGGGCCGTTGTTGAAGGCCAGTCCACTCAAGACGGTCTGCACCACTTGTTGCAAATGACCCGGGAGTTGGCCTTCGGTCTCAACACCGAAGCGGCCCAAAAGGCCGGCGGATCGGGGACGGCGAACGAGAGACGGCCCGCAGTGGGGAAATGCGCTCGACTCGTGTCCGGGAAGAAGCCGCCCAAAGATGAAAATAGGCTCTAATTGTGGAACATCTGTTTGTTAACCTAGAGAGTGGAGAAGCCTATCTGATGAGCTTTTGTTGCTGCCCTGGCAATTGCTGCCCTGGTGGTGACAGAATCCTGCTGATGCAAGCAAGCAAGCAAAGGGTGTGCCTTGCGTGCTTCGTGCCACAGTTCACAAGGGTGCCATTGTACTTAAACATGCTGCTGTAATTAATCCCAGTAGATCCACTTCGCACTATAAGTAGGCCCCAGTGGTTCCAAAGACGAAACCCGTAGACCTCGAAAACCGAGAAACCCCTGAGTTCCTTGACCTTAGCGGCATGCCTGGGATCCGACTTGCTTGGACCTTCTGGTGACACTCAGGTCCTATAGGTGTGTCACGTGGCGCCCAGGGCGGTGAGCTCTGGGCGGTGCACTTCGGTCATTTGGGTGAAGGGCGACTCAACAGGATGATGGGGTCTCCCAGTGCATCAATCACTATACTCCGACTCAAAATGGGCTGCTGGAAGACCATTTTCCTTTACCAAACAGGTGGTTTTCCACTTCCATGTGATGTATTCGTCGGAGGACGCACCAAGTTTGGTCCGAATCTACCGACCAGGAGGACCACAATAAATGTCATCTAGGTCCCCTTGCATAGGGATGGGAGGATGTGAGTGTGCTGCTCCATGATGTAGAAGATGGCCTCGTTCCGAGTTTGCTCGCTTTCGGCATCCCAAAAAAGCAGCTCACATGGCGTCGGACCTTCTCACCGTCTCCAGAGGGGTCGTTTCTGTACGACCTCTCTCGTCGACACGAGACAGCGGGCCGAAGGGGGTGATGTTCTCTCCTTCGGGGCGCGAGTGGAATTCATGGTTGTGATGGAAGGGGAAGAACCGTAAAAGCTTTTTAAACAAAACATGGACGAACTTGGCGAACGTGAACGATTGGGGCGGCGAGTGGAGAGTACTTCTCTCCCGCCGATCGTGTCAAGGCCAAGCGCAACAAGAGAAGTATCGATATATATATCGATATATATATATATCGCTTCAAGGCCAAGTCGTGCCAGCCCCGGTAAAAAAAAAGTAAAAACAACGTTTAGAAACTAATTCACTTCCTGATAATCCTAGATACTTCTTGCACTTCTCGCAATTGCCTACTTGTGCATCATGCCATCAGAGACTGAAATCCGCCCATCAGGGATGCCGAAAGACCAGGTCATGATCTGCAATCACTTCAGCTTCCAGGTAGCCTGCCGAGGGTGGGGCCGCATGATCTGCCACGGACTGGATGAACAACATGCTGCGATGTTGGATTGAGAGGTCCGGGGTATCCAAATGTATCCGAATATAATGGTACACCGAAGCACACAGAATTCTCACACCTGATTTTTGGCACTTCGCCGTAATATACTGTTGGGTCACCTGCCTGGCACACAGTTGTGTGCACATAACTCGCGGTAGCACTGCGTGAAGTACTGTAATCCAATTTACAATTTACAGAAAACCCCTTAGACATCTTAGACTCTTAGACTAAGATGACCATTTTCCTCAAACAGGTGGTTTTTCACTTCCATGCTGATGCTAAAACTGTTGGTGGCTCGAGTCCTGAACTCGCACTGGGAATTCCGGAGCCGGAACCTTTCTTCACAAAACTGCCTTAAGGCGGAAATCATATAGTTTAATTGTGTCTGCACCCCACCCAAATTCCTTCAGCCAACCAGAAAAACCTTCCTTCCCCATCTCCCCCCATGCCATCGCCCGTGCTCCTGGTCCTCCTCCCCGGCGAGACGGACGGTTCGGCACGGCCTCGGTACGGGGCATCCGCCCGTTGCACCGTGGGCAGCAGCGCGTTGATCTTCATGATGTCGTGCAGGGCCTTAAGTGAGGTCGAGCTGTTGAGGTCTCTTGGATTAATCAACCCACCCCCTTATGAAGAGGTTGGTCCATTCAGCTGGGGAGGGTTATTGATCAAGAGTCTGCTGAGTCTACCCGGGAAATCATGGGAAATCCTCTTCATATGCAGGGGTTTATTCAGAGAGCTTGTGGGGTCCGTCCGGACCGTTTGACGCCCTACACACGTTTTGGGCGGTCGGAGTCGATGGACAAATGTGGACAAACACCCCAATTGGTATGCGCCGTTGGAAGCGGACAAAACAAGGTTGGCGAGTTTCAAGGCTCGAAGAGTTTTGGTTTCACTTTATTGGGCGAGAAGTGACCATCTCTCCTCCCCTGTCAAGACCTGACACTTCTGTCAATTGAAATGCTTCTGAGACGCCAATTTCCGCGCGCTCAAGGGATGCTTAACATCTTTCCACGTAGTTACGTGGTGCAACACAGCGACCGAGTCATCCACAGTTGATGCGGGCGGAAATCACACGCACCATCCACTTAGCCCTTTGACACCTGCAGGTTGGACTCCGTACAGCCATCTACTCAAGGCAGTCCTTCCAAGCAGTCCTTCCAACTGCTGCCAGGCCACAGTGAGAACCAAAAGCGCCAAAGTTGACTCTGGATCAACGCGAGTGGCCCCGCCCTCCTTCACCAATAGACCTGCCGAACTAGCAAACGAGAAAAACCATATGACAACGACCGTGCCAACGAAACAAAGGACCACCAAACAACACCAGTTTACTAAGACGGCATGTTGGGTGTATCCGAATCCCTAGGACAAACAAAAACACTTTTTGGGGTGACGTTCCTTGTTAAGCCCTTGGGGTGACGAGAAGACCGGCCACACCGGTCCGTTGAGTGCGTGGATGCGACGTCTGTCATGCATGAAAAGACCTCCAAGCTTGTGTCTGTCAAAAGCTGTATGATATCATCAGATATCAACTCCAAGTCCGGGCAGAAATGTGTGTGTGTGTGTGTGTGTCTGTTTTTCTGAAACTGGTGACGGCTAAGGTAATTAGCTGATATTAGCTGCAGGACTGGTTAGGGCATAGGTAGGAGAACCGGCATCATGAGAGCTTATTGTGGGGCTTAGATTGGCACTCTCATGTTTCTTCCAGCCTCAGTTTTCATGGACACCCAACACAAAAGTCTGGCTCCTTTGAGAAAACCCATGGCGAGCCGCGGATTCGGTCGCGACGGATTCTTCGATTCTCAGACCGCGTTGCCGCCGACACGTGCGTTCGACGCGTTCCTCTGTCAGACCTCGTGTGGTCGTAGGCAGTAGGCGGCAAAGTGTGCTTAAAGGTTTGGACACACGGATCCCTTTCTGAAAAGAACATGTTCCGCCAGTCTGTGAAAACTATTCTACATCCACTGTCGCGTAAAGGATGAGACACCAGCTGGGCATATGATATAGTTCATACATAGATGGCCATTCTTCAGTGGTTTTTCAGTGGTCGTCGCCTGCATCAAGCATCAGGTCTTGAAAGTGCTTCCAAATCTCGCCGTCACCATAGAAGACCTCAGAATTGCGCATCGGCGCAGGTCGGTCCGCCGCATTCCTTCTCGCGGTCCGCGGTGGTGACAACTTGCATCGGTGCAAATGCTTCGGGGGTGGGGACCTGGTCCACAACCAGGGGAAGGTACCCACCTTGATGGTCCCCAGAGGTCCCAAGAGGTACCCACCTTGTAGGACTCAGGTGGAATCGTGGGAACCATCTCAGTGGCCGAATGGACCCACCTTGGATGAACTGAGTCAACCTGAGGAAGATGATTCTCCTTGGAAGACGAGAAGTGGCATGGCCCCCGAATGGAAGACCATTTTTCCTCTAGGAACGGGTGGTGTTCCACTTCCGTGATGATTCCAGGGAGTGTAAGTGTAAGCATGTGTAAGCATTTTCAACATGGGGTGGGTGACTCCAAATGGGCAGACTCGACGAACAAATAGTTTGTCCGCTCATGTTAGTTTGGTGTGTGTGTGTGTGCGCGCGTGTGCCGGGCTTTCTTTGGAACCTGATCTGAACAACACATAGCAGCAGAATCTCTCACAGTGGCCGTGTGTATGGAAAACCAGCTACATCAATCTACTGTACCCCGCTGATGACTCCAACGCTTGTAACATATACAACAACAAAATCCCAGTCCAATGAATGCACGATGATGGCTGGACAGGAACGTCTGGATGGGCGCCCTTTTGGTCCCAACAGTCGCAACATTGAAGTCTCCAAGCTGCTCCACACTTCTCGCTTTCCCCTTCACGGAAGGTCAAAGGCCTGGCCGAAGGAAACACGTTGTTTTTCTGGTTGAAGGGATGTTTCCCTACCAGAAAAAGAGAGAGAGAGAGAGAGCGAGTGCTGTCAACTTTGGATTGATCAACCCCCTCAAGGTGAACAAGTTTTGAGATGGGAGGTATTGGAGACCACGTTGCCTTTATATTTAGGTGATGACCTGATGATGTATGTATGAACAAGTGTCCAATCAGTTGGTTTGATTGGGAAGAGGAGGAGAAGGAAACTGAATGGGGAAACCGCAGTCCATCTCATGTGAGACGGGAAACTGTCTTTGATGGGATGATTTGGAAAAGGAAAAGGGACATTTGCAGGATGAAAGAGATGTAAAAAACAATGGAGGCCTTTCAATAGTTGGGCTTGATTAATAGGGGAGGTGCCCCTACTAATCAAAAGGAGGTAGGGCCTGTGTGATGGGTACCCTTTGTGAGCTGGAAAACCCTAGGTTTTTGATATAGCTTTCATAAGGGGAAATAAAGTTATTTTGCTAAAGATTCTAAGGATTGTGTACAAATGTTGCTTTTGGTAATCAGAATGGTTGGTAGCATGAGCCTTCAGGAGAAGCAATCACAAGGTTGGATCAAAAGATCAGTTTCACCATTGGATGAGTTTCACTATGTCTGACCATGGGAAGTGTTGGATGCTATCTGCAAACAAAAGGATTTAGATTGTATTTAAACAATATACTGAACTAGTTGTTTAACTTTCTGGAGGCAAACGGGCTTGATAAGGGGAGGTTTCTTAATCCTATGTCGACATTATTTCAAAAGAATTGAAAAAAGGCATCGTGTTCTAGCATACTTTGGCGCGTCAAGGGTATTTATATGCACTTATCATTGAAGCATCATCATTTTGGGTGAACCATTGACGACCTATCTACTGCGAGGTGGGGAGCGAGCGCAGCCGAGCTCGTCGGTTTCGCAACCGAAGGACGCCAACGCCGAGCTCTCCAAAACGGCCGTTAGACGGTTGCGCATGCTGAGATCTCTGCAAAAACAAAGCCCAGCAGCATTAAGATCGTCCAGCAACTTGATGGGCGGTGCTGGCAACATATATATATATAATTACAATTGTTTGATACCTATACTATTACTATACTTAATACTATCACATACACTATCATATACTATATATAGTACAGTGCCAGCTTAATAATACATCTTTAACATCGACCCCCCACATCTCCTTTTCCCACCGGCTCCTCCAAGAATCGTCCACGCCACGGCAAAAGCCATGCTTCCCATCGAGGTTGAGACCTCAGTGGGTGACCCAATCCGCTAATGGGAAAAGCTTCCCAAACAGGTCGGTGGCAACATCCTCAAAACTCCTCAACTTGCCTGCGCAGCAAGTAGAAAATTGGTGGAGCCTGCCAAGTGAGAGGCCGTTGTGTTTCGGATCCCTTCTGGTGATTCATGGCCCATCAGTTGGTTCCCCTCCATCCAACTGGCTTCTTCGTCCCACTGGGCTCCTCCCACGGAAGAGCCAGTAGATCGCGAAGAAGGCGCCCATGGTGCGCTGGAATTCATCCCCGGCAGCTCTACCACCGGTTGCGAGGCCCTGCAAAGGTGGAAGATCTTGAAAGGATGTTTTCTTTTAATGGCCCAGCCTTTGGTCTCACCAGGATTTTCGTTGAAACAACATTGCATGAATACAAAATGACTATCATATGCCATTAATGGATGCTTCTCACTCATAATTACCACAAGAACAACCCTCAAAAGTTCCAAACCTTCTGGAACTATATGTTACTGTTTCTAGTGTGACGCAGGTATACAACACAACCGCTACTATAAAGGGTTGTGAATGGACACCGCTTAATGTCTAAGGAGCTATGAATACCTATACTAAGAGCCTCTTCAGGAATCCTCGTAGCAGCCCCAAAAGTCGTACATTTCTAAACCAGGAGTGTTAAACCATGTGAAACCGCTCTGCCGGTCCTCAGGAGAGTCGTCAGCGGCCTCGACAGAAAGCCTCATCGGGACCAGGTTTGCTGGATCATGGGTATCGAAACTTGTGCAATACATTGTTGATTGGGGTCATTAGGGCGTGTTGAAGGGATTTGGGATTTACTAGCTTCCAGGAATCGTCCCTCTTGAATACTGTATCGGCATGTATCGGCAATGGACATGTGATACAGGACACTGCAACATTCTGACATGGACATTCTGACAGGGCGGTGCTCGTCGCTTTGGACAGTGTCGTCCAGTCCATGGCCTCACCTCGACCTAGTGAAAGCCGGCATTCGTGTCTACAGCTGTCTACACTCCCTGAACTGATGGAAGTGGGCTTTCCACCTGTCTGTAGAGGAAAATGATCATGCAAAAGGCCATTTGACCAACGTTCCATGATTGTTCCATGGGAGTGTATCAATCAGTTGCATCCTTTCAATGAGAAGTCCGATCATACCAACCAAAGCCAGCTGGGCTTTCATTCGTGGCGATCCCCTCTTTAAGAAGTCTCAAGAGACTAGTAGTAAGAGACTTGAGACTTGTTTAGTAAGTGGCCATCACCTCTTTCAAGTGGCAATCCCCTCTTATTTCGTCTCACCTTTTGGTAGTCTCCGTCCGGATGCTGTCATGTCACTTGAGTCACTCGCCATGTCGGACAGCACGAGTCGAACGGAACGCACGGAACGCCGTTCATCCCCGGAGACTCAACACCAACGGTCCAACGGATCAGCCCACCGCATTCCACCACGCCAACGGGTCCAACGGGTCAGCCCACCGGTCCCCGTTCCGCCCACGAGACCCTTCGAGGCTAAAGAGATGAAGCTCCGGGAAGGTCGCCAACAGGTCCTGCGACGCAAACCCGGGAGAACGCTCTTCGGAATCGCTCGGAATCGCTCGACCCCGGGCCGTTCGGGGCCACGGTGGAGCTGGTGGTGGTTCTTTGAAGTGCCACCCTGGAAGATGGGGAAAAGGAAGGAGGGCGAATGGGGTGAAGAGTTTGAGCACCTTGGAGTCCTGCTCTTGAACAACTTTCCTTGAGGAAGACCACGGGCATCGACAGTTGGCCTTACATGGCCTTACTACAGTAACTCATCTCAGGTGCAGAACACTAACAACTAGTAAAAGACTAAACAAAACTGATCCAATCTATTAAACACTATATAAATCTATTTCATCAATCAAATTGATAACTACCGCAGTCTTTCTCCCGCATATCCGGGTTGATCCAAGTATGGTGCAACACTACTCGGCAACTTCCCTATTCAACCACTCACATATCACTCGTTCCCAGTCAATCTCAAAAAAGCTTTTGTATCCGAATCAATCAAAACAGTTTTGTCCTGATAGTACTGAGCCAGCGAATACTCGGGCTTGGCAATGTCTTTGGCAATTGCCTTGGCGAATACTGCCGGGTCCGGATCCCCCAGCGAAGCGTGCGAAGGCCAACAATACGTGGCATGCTTGGCCATACACCAATGTGCCGAGTCGGAAACTGCTTGGAGCTGAACAATCTATATATGTCTTGGAGTCTTGGGTCTATCCTATTACCTGGGCCCAGTAGATGATGATGGTTCAGTTGTGGGCCTTGTTCAAAGATGATGATAATTGTTTAACAAACTGTTACAGGTAATAGGACAAACCCTATGTATGTCATAATATATGCACTCCAAGTCATACAAAAAATATCAAAAAATCCTTCACATCCGAAAAGGGAGCCTGCCTTGGTCCATGGCTTCATAGGTGCCAAGAAGTCAGACGACAGAATTACTTGCCCAAACAGCAGGCACGCCGTTTTACAGTCCAAAAGCAGCTGGGACGTCATGCCATCCCGAAACTCAAACGCTTCGTGTATGGATTGTTGTATGGAATTGGAACCAATACATATTATATAGAGAGAGCTGCAGCTGCAGCATATAGAGGGAACCTCTAAATAAAGTACATGATATCAATATATTCATTGTGTACCGTATATCAATATGCATCAATATGCAAAAACAAAAAGGCGCCATTGACTGCTCCAATCCGACGTCGTCTCTGGCGTCGTCCCGGACGTCTTCCCACCTGCGCACGCTCAAGATCCATCTTGCGACCAGCCAGGACTGCCTGGCAGGGGTGATGCACGGTTCCCTGTGTCGAAAGGCCAAAAGACAAGGAACACACACTATAGTCATCAGTCATGAAATGCGCAAATGTATAGAACACTAAAAACCTGAGTGACCTGTGACCTGTCCATACATTGGAATATCGGATGCTTTTGGACTAGCTAAGACTGTAGCTAATCACATGTTTATGCATTTTTGATTGGAAAAGGAGTCAACAGATTTCCAAGCAATGCTTCCCGTGCACTGACCGGCTGACCCACGCGCTACAAGTTCACCCCCCTCAGCGCCTCCAAGACCGGCGACGGACTCCCGGTCTTGCCCGTCACAAGGGCCTGGCGCCGTGATCCGGAGGGTTTGAGAGGCTCCCGGTGGATATCACAGTGGATATCCGACTGTTTGTGGGTGGTTTTGGGCACATCCTCAGAAGTCCAGATCTCTTCCAGTAGGCGACAAGAATGTTCTCCTGTCAGCACAACATCAAAGAGCGCACGCCTTCATTGTGGACCGTTCTTCCTTACAGGTAACTTACAGGTATTGACACACTCCCACGTGGTAGGGCCCACTTGTGCCACTTGATCCAAGAAACAAACACCTATGCCTATGAACATTGGAATAAGGGCTTCATGGGGCTGGAGACACCTCACCTGGCGCCTGGCCATGCTTTATCGGGGCCTTCATGAGTGTGTTTAATAGTTGACACCTTCTTTCAAACATGACTTCATCGGAATTGTGCCAAAGCAACATTTTGCACAAATCGGTGAAACTCTAAACCTCCTTTTCGCTTGGCTTGCCAGTCTCTCCACTCCTGTAGCTATGCTGGATGTTGGAATTAGGTGCAAACTGTTTGGCACGCCGTGCCGGGCAAAAGAACGCACCAAAGAACATGCCCGGTGCAGGAAGCACATGAACCACGCGCCTCAAGGGATACCGCCACACCTGGAACGCGTCCTGGCACCGGGGAAGGCTGAAAGCACAGCTTTCACTTTTTGAATGTGTGTGAAATGTATGCCACATGTCTACATGTTTCACCATAAGACTTGCAAATGATCGTTTTGATGTTCCATCCTAAGCTCTTACAAAAAGGGGGAGGGAATAGTACACATGTTTACCTCACTGACAGGACATGATTCCAACAGTACCTGAATACTTTTTGGGGGTTGGGAAGCTTTTATGCTTTGAACAATCAACCACCTCACCGTGTACACCACTTCTGGAACCACCTCGGGCTCGTCCGATCGATCGGTGGGTCTGCAGAGGTTTGGGGCATGGATCATGCGGCACGCACTGCCCACGACAAATGTGATGTTTACGACGTAAGCCCCCCCCAGTTTGAGGTCGACAAAGTGGAGATTCCTCTAAGAAATAACGTTGGAAACAGTTGCTAATCGTTTCAAACCTATTTGGGGGCCAGAAATCACACGAAAAAAATCACACTTCAACCTGAATCATCTCGAAGCTCGTGCCTGCGCGCGATTCAGGAGGTACGATCTCAGTGTCTCCAACAAACGAGCTGCCCTGACAAGGCAACACCTGAGATCCAAACTGCGAGGTCGTGGGACAGTTCACAGCATGCTCACAGCTACCATGATATTTGATTTTAGGTCTTTAAACACCCTTACACCCTGGAAGATTCACATGGAACCTGAAAACGACTGGTTACATTGATGTTGAATTAAATGTTAAAACCCCGGGTGTACCAGATCTCTATCTGCGCTACCCTTTCATCCTTCGGAACCTCTCTATCACCGCTCCACTGGACCCAGTCGGAAGCTCATCACCCGCAGGTCGTGCTTGTTGTGGCACCCAAATGCACACCAAACCCAGTGCTTTCTTCACATTTCTTCACAACTGGAAAAGGCTCCGTCTTTCTTCGCAGTCCATGTGAAAGATGAAACTTGATGAACCCTGATGGGTTGAAGGAAAAAATCAAACAAATACCCTCTAGATATGCTTTGATATGCTCTATCAATCCTTATCAAGTCTCTCTGAGCCCCCGAAGGGAAACCGCGGGTCTCGGGACCCCGGCACTGGCCATGCTTGCTGCGCAGGTCCCCATGGCTCATGCCACTGCCGAAGGGTTTTTCTGGATGTCCGACTTGCAGAATCCGTTGGAATCCGACTTGGGATGTTGGAGATATTGAACCATATGGCAACAACATCATGAAAACAGGAGCAAAATCATGGCACATCCGCCCAATTTGCATGACCTGACCCTCATGGGATCCTCGGTTTTTGTGTCTGTCTTCGCCACATCGGTGGTTCGGCAGCTCAGACGCTGCGCAGAGCTGAGCCACTGAGGGTGGTGCTGCGCGATGGCATGGCGGCGTCCAGCTGTGATCAATGAGGTGCAACAAAGAAAAAGGAATGGCATGGAATTGCTACTTACTACATCCAGTACTATTACTATTGCCCCGAAAGAATCCATGGGAGTGGAGGCTCAAGCCACCTGTTTTGTTGTCTGTAAAAAGGTCCTTTCCATCGGTCCTTTTCACACAATCCGATCCCCTGTAGACGTTTTGATGGTCTTTCGAGGGGTTTTGATGGTCTTTCGAGGGTCTTGATGGTCTTTCGAGGGGTCTTGATGGTCTTTCGAGGGGCCATCCACTTCAATGATTGGAGGGTCCCACTTAAATCTGGGGCCGGAACCACATCCCCTTGAAAAACTCATCAACTGGTGGGCATTCATCGGGGCTCGATCTGTTTGTGCAGTTTGATTGGCATTAAATTAGTGCTCGAAAGAGCTTGAAACCATTCCCCCACAAAAACGCTACACTGCTGTCTTCAGTCTGTTTTGAGAACGCCGGTCATGGCCGGTCTGGCGAAAAGTCCTCGAATCCGTAGCAATTCATCACAAATCCAGTGGCCCATCAACTGCCAACCACCCCAGGCTAGGCTGGCACACCTTAGTCAAGGAAAGGGCATCTACCTACTCCCGAGTGAGGGTACTTAGTTCTTCTTGCGCGAGAGTTCTGAAAGGTTGAAGGTTAGCCTTGGATTCCACACAATGACGATGGACAATGGTCTTCTACTTTTAAACTATTGTCTGATTCCCACGGTGCAATATGAGAAGGATACCTCATGCGAACATTTCACCAATCATCCCGCCAACTTCGCCAACTACCCGGCATCAACAAGCAAGTCTGTCAATTTCTTGGATACATTTGGGTACCCTTTGGGTACCCTTTCAATTCTCACCGTCACCCTTCCCCCCAAAAAGAACAAACACACACCACCAAGCCAGCGAACAGCAAAGTCATGGTGCCCCGTGCCCCTCGCCTGGGCTGCGACACCTGGGCGGTGAGGTGATGATGGCCTCGAAACGCCCTGTGAGTTCGGGCGCTCAGCACCCCAGGGCCTGTGGGCAGTGGGGTGGTTGAACTGGATCTTTCCAGGGATAAAGCACCATCCCCCTGCAGCCAACTAACTTTGGCCTTTGAACCATGAGACATGAGACGTGCCGTGTACAGGTCTGAAAACGCTGCTCCCCACTTGACTTGAGGATCATCCAGCAAAATAATAATAACCGAAACACCAGTTCAACCCCCAACTTTTCTTCTCAACACCGCTCTGGCTGCTTTTTCTCAGCCCCATGGCCCATGGTGCCTTCAGACGGAGGCGAAGCGTTAGGGGCTGGAACGAAGAACGGTCAGACCATGACCTTCTGCGTCGACCGTTGGCGTCGACCGGGCAACACGAGCGTCTTAAGGATGGCCAAGGTATCTCTAGCAGAACTGACCAACTGATTTGACTCCTTGGGGCGATTTCAACTGAACGACACATCTGCACAAACAACCCAAGCTACTCAGCTACTCCACTGGAAGCTGGAGTAGAAACTCTCAAAACCTCGACCTTCCTGCAGGTGCTGAACACGTTTTCACATCGCTCGCCCTTCCTGGTGAAACGTCGCTCCGACACGTCCAGCTCCAACACCGCAGTGTTTTCATGGCACAATCCCCAAGATTCGTTGGTTTCCAGCTATGTGATACTGTGAACTTGTCGTGCACGGCGAACGAAGTCCGTGTCGAGCAAAAGAAAGCACGAGGATCAACAATCCTCACGGCCGCGCCTTTTCAGCGCGCATGCACCCTCCCATGCTTGAGAGGTGAGTTGCGGGTGACATGAAACAGGTTCATCTTCAAGAACCTAAGTGTACAGCGTACACTTCACACGGGGAAAAAGAGTTCTTTTCCTCATGTATCTAAAAGTCGCTGCTCGTAGGCGTCCAGCCAGCGAAAAACCAGCACTCTTGCGGGCTCTCCTTCTCGTGGATCGGTCAGATCCGGTGGCAGCATGCGGACGCTGCACAGATGGCATCTCTCAATCATCCGAAAGGATGATGCTTCTCGACCAACCAGAGAGGTGCACTCAGGAGTGGCATGCCATCGATGACCATGCCTTGACATCCAGATCTTCTGGTAAAAGGGGCAGTCGTTGGAGTGCTCATCCATCTGCCTGATGCACATGCGAAGGAGATCATTGGCCTCGCTCAGCAGGTTCTCTGCTGTGCACTGGTACGCTAGCACCATGTCAGCAGCAGCTCGACTTTCAGAAGCTGAGGACTTGAACTGCACAGCGCGGTTGCGCCATAGAGACACTTCTTCTTTTGCCTTCGCCAGCTCTTCACGAAGGCGGGAGTGAATCACCAACTCGTCCTTTTGAACTGCAGCTTCTGCCACCACAGGGCGTCCAGGTTGGCGGGTCCAACGGCCAGCCAGGAATGCTGAGCTCATGACCATGAGGAAGCCGGTGAACAAAATCATTCCCACAAAGTCAACTTCTTCTTTCTTTTCAGTGGTGAGGTCAGTGCCAACAACTAGCTGGGGAACCATCACAACCAAGCAAAGGAGCTGGAGGAAGTACTTCATGAAGCCTGCACAGGGCTTAGTCAAGCGGCCAGGCACGACATGGCTGGACCTACGGTTGACATACACAATGGCGTCATCGGTGCGAGCACACATGACATTCTCAAGGGCCTGTTCATTCGTTGGGTCCTGGTCTTCATCAAGCAGGTGCTCATCAACATTGTGCTCAATTTCTTCAGTCTCAAAGGGCTCGTGTGGGTCCAGGTTGTCGGGCTGGCTGATGCTCTCGTCCTCAAACTGAACCTTGGGGCTTTCCTGAACACTCTCCAGTCGGCTCTGCTGAAGTTCTTCTTTCGTCTTTTTCTTGGCGGCTTTGTATGAGGGATCACATACCAGCTTGAGTCGACCATGACGAAGTCGTTGTGCCAGGAGAAGCCGTGCAGCCTCTTTCGTCAGACCATCTGCGATCTGTCGTTCGGAGGACATCCACCGAAGGTTGCCGCCCAAAGCACTGAGGCGGTCCTTCATGACCCTGATCTCCAGAGAGACCCTTTTGTCGACCACAGAACTTGACACACCTTCCCTGTGGTAGGAGTCGAACAAAGCCTTGGCGTCCGTGACCATGACTGGGGCCAACAGCGACGGGGCATTCAAGACGTGCTGCAAGCTCTGCCGAGGGTCCATGAGCAAACTCCAGTAGATGCTGGCATGTTCGAGGGCGTCACATGCCTGTCCTCCACTTTGAGCTTCCGCGCCAAGCGATGACCGAGCAATCCTCGGTGTCTTCATGCTGCGCCAGTCGAGGATGTGGTAGGCGCCTTCAGGGCCATTCGCTTCAAGCAGGCTTTTGTGCAGCAACATGATCACATAGCCAGCTTGTGATGAACCATCACTCCTTGTGGCGAATGCAGCATCAAAAAACACACCATGCGAAGCTCCTCAACAGGGCCCAGATGGGCATAGTGCAAACCAACATCAGCATGCTCCTTAGCAAAACGCAGCAGACGATTGGTATCGGCTACAGTTTGCAAACATGCTTTGTTGACATAGCCACTCAAAATGGATGTACTGCTCTGTAGGTGTGGGCTAGATTGCACTGCAGGCCATTGCAAGGAACCTAGCAAACCACGCAGCTGTGTGAGTTCCTTTTGGTTCAAAGACTCTGTGAGGTTGCGCTTCCGGTCGTAGGAGATTGGCTTCACTTTGCCAAGATAGCTCTTTTGGTTGAGCATGAAGCTTCCGTCCTCATTGAGGTAGATGTCGCAGCCACAGTAGGTCAGGGGCTTCCCATCATCACCTGTCTTCCATTCACGGAAGGTGAATGAGCTTTTGAGCTTGGCCAGGGTGTCATTGTAGCACTGCGAGGTGATGGAGCCACAACCAAGCATGTCGTCCACGTGCATGATCACCATGCCACAAAGACCATGCGGGCCCAACAAGTGCGGTGCCGGTGCAGCAGGGTCAAACTCAGGGTTGAGCTCGCCTTCATACATGAGGAAGCAGCAGGGATCTTGTGGATGTTGTTTCAAACCCATGCCCTTCAGCTTGTCCACGGCGGCCAGGTACCAAGCTCTTGGGGCATCTATCTGACCATAGCATGGCTTCAGGAGTAGCATCCGTGTGTCGGGGGATGCTCCAAGCAGTTCCAGGCATTCGTTTGGGAGTTGTACCCATAGTTTCCTGCTTTGCGGTTTGCCTTGCAAGAAAGCCGTGGCAATGTCTGAGGTCCAAATTGGCCAGTTCATCGTGGAAGCCAGGCTGAGCAACATAGATCTCGACAGCCGGGTCGTCGTTGGAGAGGATGTAGGAACGGTGCCCTCCCAGGCATCGGGATCTTGAAATCCTCTGACGATCAAACGGGCCTTCGCCCTTGGACTTCCATCGGGATTCTTTGACCATTTGAGCAGCATGCGACTTGTCAAAGTCCGGCTGGGCTCTGCTTCATGGGTGGTCTCGAACTGCCACACTTGGTTGTCGAAGAAGCTTTGCAATTCCTTGACCTTGGCGGCCTTGAACTGGGCACGTTCATCTGGCGTCATATGACGCTCTGTGAGGTTGTTCTTGTTCTTGTCCTTCTTGAAGGTTTTGGCGCGCTGCATCTTGGCAGTCTTGCCCATCTGACGTGCTCCTTGTAGTGGGGCTTTGGCATACATGGCCAGTTCACTCGGATATCGCCCTTGATCTGGAAGATGCTGAGTCCTGTCCAGGTGCGGTCCATAGGATGTGAATCGGTGCCGTCATCGGTGATCTGATGGCTCTTGCCGTTGTTGTCATACATCACGGTGACTCGGACTTGATCAAG